CTGAACTACTTGAAATAATAATTAAAAAAGAAAAAAGTATAAAATATAATTAATAATTAATAAAAATGGCTAAAAATAGCGACATAAAAATGTTACATTTTGTAAAAAAACATTTGATTTCTGATTCTTATGTTATTTCCAAACATATTTTTTAGCCTTTGTTTATATATATTTTTTTTTTTTTATACTACCAGTTTGGATATTTCACAGTTTAATAATTGCTTGTGAATTTGATTCAAGTAGTGGTATTGATTTCTATACTATTGACATATAAATAAGTAATATTATCTATACCTACATATATTTTTTTTAGCTTTTATCCCAAAAGTTGTTATACATAAATATACAACCATATTATATAAATAAGTAATTACTATACAAGTAGTCCCTTAAGGGTCCCGGTGCCAGTTTTTCAAATTTTCCGCAGTTCTATAAACTTTGAAAATTAAATTTTATATTTTAGTTGCCACCTCAATTATAATACTATTCCTCTAATCTACTACCCGATACCTATTTAGGGAAGGTTGATAGGGTATATTATCGAAAAAAATGACTTCACAGGAATAACTCTCAGGCTTTGTAAAATTGTCGGATTTTGATGACTGTTTTTTTATCTGAAAGAAGAAGACTTCCTACAACCGTCATCGAACTCTGATTTTGTATTTTATTTTAAATAGTTGTATTAAAAAAATTGTAAAAATGCTTTTTATCTTGTATATTTTTAGACATATTATAAAGTTTGAGAATAAAATATTCAAAAGAGATCAATTCGGGTTGTATAATATTTCCCTCTAGCAATTAAAAAAAAAATCATGAAATTTGGTTGATTCTACAAGATGGTATCGTTATTCCCGCACAGTGTATTTTTGAGGACAAAATGGGATCGGCACCGGGCGCTTTAAAAAGAACAAATAGTATTATTTATAAATTAATAAACTATAATGATATTTGAGTGATATATTATTATTTTATATTATATTATTATATCAATGTCTCTTGTAATTTCTTTATTTAAAATGTCAATATATATTTTTGTTTCAGGGGTGATACAACTATAATTTTAGGAACTTTTGCAGGTATACTGACTGGAGGTTGGTTGTTAGTCACATTAGATATACAAGATGATTTTCGTGTTATGAACCCAATGAATAATCCAATCAGTTGGCCTTCAATTTATGATTTAGGTAAGTACTTACACTATTGAAAACTTATAAAATGTATGTCTATTGTTTTCATTTATTAATTTTACAAACCACTTATTTAAACACATTTTATATTAAATAAAAGGATATTTATTTTGGAAAAACATAAAATAAACAATATTTTAGAGGAAAATTTGAAAGAAATACATTTTTTTGTATTTTGATAGTTTTCTGTTTGTTATATTAACAATATTTATCTATTTTCCAATATCATTTTGAATAAAAATAACTTATATGATTCATCAGACCTGAAATCTTATTAGTTATTTTTTTGTCACATTAAAATGTAAATGAGTTAACATTTTGAGTTATGATTATAAAGATTTAAAATATCTAATTATCTAATTTTTTTTTTGTTATCAGGTTTGATTGTGATCAGAAGTGGTTTGGGCTATTGTTGCATAGTCTTGTTATTCTTAATTATTAAGTATATTCTGTGTATTGTTGATAAAATATTAATTAAAAGTGGTATGAGAATATTTGACGATGCACTGAATAGGCATATTCCTCTATTAGATATTACTTACAAGTATTTGACATTTTACTTGGTATCTTTCAATATTATAGTTTTGATACCAATGTTGCAAAAATTGTTATCTATGTCAAGACAGTCATTTTACCATGAAGCTAAGTAGTCAATTAAAATTGTTAATTACATTTTATATTATGGCCTGTTACCACCTTATATATGTAAATTACATGTATGCTTTAATATATGTCCTGTAATAATACTTAAGTTCTTAAGTTCAATAATGTTATTATATTTTATTAAGCTGTATCTCATTTTGAACAAAATATTTGTCAACAGTCATTCTAAAAATATTATGAGTACATTATTATATACGATTTCCATATTTAATTTAATTGTTATAAAATGAATACTATAATTATTTATATTTTAATAATATAATTTTGTATCAAACCATATAATCATTAATCTTATTCCACTATCATATGAAATTAAATGTCAATTTTTTTCCATGTTTATATTTTAGTAATAATACAAATTAAGTAGACCATGCACTGAAAAGTAAAAATTACAATACACAATTTGGAACATTTAAATATTCTACTGAAGCTACTTAAATTAATTAAAAAATAATGATATAAATGAAGCTGTCTAATATATTATTATTTATGATTTGATGTAATATTTTTATACTTTTATAAATCAATCAAACAATTATTATGTCTATGATTATTGTTAGTCAGATTATTTTTGACTAAGTCATAAAAAATGCTTCATCAATACTTTGATATTATGCATGTATTATTAATATGATATTATGCCACATGGATTAATCAGAAAATTTTGTTACTAATTGATGAATGGTAATTACAGAATAAACTCTACAATGTATAAACATATACATATATGGTTAATGTTATAACTAAAAGTCCAAAGTTTAAGGTTATACTTTGATTTATATTTTGTAATTACAAGGGCGTAGATTTAAATGCAAAATTTATTTCTCTGAAAAAAACATTGATTTTCAAGCATAACATTTGTTAAAAAAGAATTTTTATTGTTAGGCTATGTTTTGAAATATTAGTGCATTTTTCAAACTTAAATTACCTAAATTTTTCTTATATTTTATAAGTATGGATAAAATTTTATAAAAATGTACCGTACATTACATCACTAAAAACAACATTTTGCTTGGCCTTATTAATTTTGTTACGTATGTTTTGTCCCAAACAAAAGTTGTGGTGTTCGCTCACAATTGTGTGACAAACTAAATTTTTGTCTTGTGCTGGCTGATGTATAATAGAAGTATTATATTACATTTAAAAAAGGTGGGCAAGTGCAATGATATTATTGTAGCAGACCCTTCTAAAATATTTATCAGTGGTTAAGAACGTACAGAAAATTGATTTCTTGAATAATGTTGAAAACTGTGCCATTATTATTTCCGAATTTGTAGTATTGGTTATCTGTAATAGACAAAATGGCAAAAAGTATATTTTGTGGATCACCTTTACTTCTGTCAACTTCTGGTAGTTTGACTCAAACTGTATCGCCGACACTGCATGGTGGAATTTTGTTAATGGGGCTGAATTTAGTTTTTTCAGCTTGTGGTTCCAGGGACAATTTTGAATTAATTCTTTCTTTTTCTATGGTGTTCTGAAAAATATAATAAAAATAAATAAACATTCGTTTAAGTACAACTGGTTGTTAATTATTACTTATATTTTGAATAAATCTTAAAGATATGTTTGTTCATTATCAAAAATACATGATTCACAGCAACGCTATACTATATTGTCCTGTTGAAAAAAAATACTGTTTGACCTACCTATGTGAAAAATTTTTTTTTTTATGATAAAATATTTTAAAATTAGAAAAAAATATTGTAAAAGTTTTATAAACCATAAACGTGTTGTATTTGTAAACATTGTATTGGTACAAAAATTATTTTTTCAGTTCATAAGAAATTTCAATATTTTATTAATTGTAGTTGAAAATGTAAACCTAAGCATAAGTTGTTATTGGGTACATAAAAATACTTTAAATTAAATTAAATTTGAATTGACAAATTTAATGTTGATAATTTAACATTTCGTTCAATAGGTAATATTATTTAATAATCTGAATATAGGGTACCTACATTCAGCATATTATTTAATAATCGGAATATAAGGCACCTACATTCGAAAAAAATACTTTACATTTGTGAAAATATTTAAAAAGTAATTATTGCCATAATGTACATTCAAAATTATTACTTAGCAAAAAAATCAATAAATAAATATAAAAATAAAAATAAACTTTCCACAGACTTAAATTATAATATATTACATTTTTTATTATATTTATCGTTTTACATTTTACTTATTTTATTTATTGTATTAGATATATTTTGCCTCTTTTTTTTTTTTTTTTTTATTGAAATAAATCTACAATCTACATTTTTTGTACAATAAGTAGGTTTGATAACTGATAAGTGAAAATAAGGTTAACATGAATCATAATATTAGGGAGTATACCCAGTGGCAACACTCTATATATTATACCCATAGAGTATATAGAGGAGCCCTAATTGAAATAATATGAAGCGGAAATGGAAACAAAACAGTGTAGGCAAACTATAGAAAATATTTTATTGTATATGAACTATAATACAATATTTATTGTAATTTCATTATATTACTCATTATTATTGCTCAATTATATCATATTGTTCTATGGTTATATTAACCTTTATTTATAACTATCAATATAATATTAATTATTATAATATTACTGAACTGAACTTGATTTGCACAAATACGTAAATACTATTATAATATGTTATGGGAGGGTAGTAAGTTTTTGGTGAGGAAATTATCAGTACTATCAATACTTAAATTATTGTAACACACCAGCATCTTAGGTTTGTTCTTAAAATAGTTTCTGAGTAGAAAGTATTATAACATATTCAAAATATTACATTGCTGGGATTTACGAAAAGTTGAAAATTAGCGCTATCTATCAGTTGCGTTGTTAGTTATTGGAAACCAAATCCGACATGTTTTGCTTCACATAATTCATAATACTTATTCTGATAGGGCATCTCTATATACTCTATGATTATACCTAACAGGTATAATACAGAAATAAAATGTTAATAGTAACAGAATAGCGTTATCTTATATCTACTATCTCCAAGTGGAGTGAATTATAATGAACAGATTTTTTGCCACAGTGTACGACTGACATCAATGTGTATTTTTTTTAATATTATTTGTTAGGTACCTAAATTGTTCATTTTTAATGATGTTCATATAATAATTTAGATATCTTGTCTTATAAGTTGCTATACCCTTTGGTTTTTTCCGTTTTTTTTTTCCTACTCGGCTACTATTGTAGATAGGTTATTATTAAAAAATATTGAACAAACTTTCTTATACATATTTTGTTTTTAAAGCAAAGTTTATAAGTTATAACATATTATTTCTCTTAATTATTAAAATAATTAAATAAAAATATGGTATGTAGGTACCTATATGAAAAAAAATATACCTCTCTCTAGCTCTTCATCGGAAATATGATTGTCTCTTTGGTCATGTTCAATACGACACTGCAATATTTCTTCTAACTCTTTTTCTGCTGTTTCAGCTGAAAGTAAAGACGACGAAAGTCCAATTTTCACATATGTTCCAAATATGGCCATTCATGGTATATTTTAATACCATCGTGATAAGCCCTATTTTTCATCAACTGTACAAATCATAGGCCCTCCGACCATGATTTACAATTGTTTGTAACTGAGTAATAAAACTTAGCCAAACGAACATGTAAACACGAAAACCTATCTGGAGTTTAAAATTAGGTATACATTATATCTATCGTTTACACTTTTTATCACGATGTAGGTGGGTACTTAAATATTGCAATTGATATTTTATCGTATTTTATTTATCAAAACACTTTATCCACTCAAAGGTACAAATTACCCAAAATAAAATAATATTTTTACTTTATCCAATAATTCATGGGTAGAGTTCACATTACCCGATTTTCGTACTCAACCCGTAACATATATAACTTGATATTTTCAGGAATTCTACAGTGCGTATATCAATAAATTGTAATTTTTCTTACCATTATATTTTGAAATAAGAAATACCCATAAAAGCTATAATAAATAGCTGTTACCCAATTGTCCCTGTTTCATAAGAAAAAAGTTCTGGGCAACGTCGAGCCGTCGAGGGGACCAGCATAAGTTACAACCATAGCATTGCTATAGTTCATATTCATTTAATAGGTTAATTTTTATTATAAATTCAAATATACATTAATTTTCCATTCTGAACTTGAATCATTTAAATTTTTATTTTAATACTAACCATAGGTGAAAATAAGGAGGGCTGGGAAGGGGTTCGGTCCCCCTGGAATTGCTAGAGCCCTTCCAAAAACTATTGACTTGTACATGTTATGACGTAGAAGCATTATAAGAGTGTCCAGTATGGACCTGTGCTTCAGCCCCAAAATTTCAAACACTACCTATTTGCGCCTAACATAGGTCCTAACCATTGATTAGGTTTTCACCCTGACGTCCTGTCGATGCCCTGGTGCCGCCGCGATGTCGAGCGCACCGATGAACCCTGAAACGTTTCGTTTCTTCGAGCCCGGCGCTGTTGACGTCCCCTGTTTCTATAGCTACCCTATGGTAAAAGGTTTTTGATTTGTTTCTATGGTAATAAATAAATTTAAATCCCATTTGTAGTGGTTTTTCATAATTTGCCTGTGATTTTTCAGGTAGCATTAAATAACTATTGAGAAAATCGAAAAATTACCTCTTTAAAGTACCATCTTGATCCAATTTGCCAAAAGAGAAGATACTATATGTTGAAATCGAAGCACTCCTTCGGGCAGAAATTTTAATAAAATTAGAATTTCTAAAATAACAAATATATAACTGGTGTAGGGGTGTAGACATTTTTACTAGGTCATCAATCAGGGCCGTGTTAAGCTTTTTGGCGCCCAGGGGCACTCATTTTTAAGCGCCCCAGTACCCCTCTCTTCTTTATATCATCCACTTATTGACTACTTCGCACTAGTATTTCAGGTATGTGAAAAAGTATAGGATGACTTTTTTTGGAGACTCCAAAAGATTATCATCTATATTTTTAATTTTCTGATGATCGTGAT